TACATATATATTTATATGTATATACACACACGTATATGTATATACATGTCCATAAACATATACATGTACACATACTTATACTTATACTTGTATTTACACGTATTACACTTAATACTTCATATTTGAGACTGAATACGTATACCTTCACTTATACTTATACTTGTACTTATACTTGAAATACGTATACTTATACTTGTACTGATACTTGTAATGAAAACTTGTTCTACTTGCACCTATACTTATACCCACACACGTATACTTACACTTATAATACTTGTATGTATACTTACACTTTCACTTGTACCTGTACTTTTACCTACACTTTTACTTCTGCTTCTATCTCTACTTATGCGTCTACTTCTACTTTTATTTATACTTTTACTTCCTGACTTGTGGTGTACAGCTGCCAACACAAGAATCACCGTCTAGAGTCTAGCCCAATCATCTTCAATCACAGTGATGATGACCGATTCGTCCAGTGATTTCGAAAAGGCACCCCTAACCCCTGTTCCAACACATCATACCACTTGCTATATAAAACAAGCACATTCATGGCAGTCACACCAATAGTCCAGACCAACTTGCTGACCAAAGCCGTCAGCATCCGTATCCATGGACCCTTTTATCCTTGGAAACCTAAGCTAAAACCTAAAACCCACGCCGATTGTACCCCGAAGCCATGAAGCTAACGGCATTGGTGTGAGCATGAGGTACTTCGCTGTCCCTAGCGCCCTAGACTATCACGACTACTACCAGTATCACCATTACATTGCAACCTGCAGCACACTAAACACTAAACCCTAGATGCTAATCCCCAAACCCTAAACCTTCATTATGCTTAATTACATTGAAATCCTTAACCCTACACCTCAATTACACTGAAATCCTAAATTGATTACACTGAAATCCTCTTGTCGGACCCCATCGTCTAGGCGACAGGGCTGGCCCCGGAGCCTGGCGCTCGCCACCGGAACCGGCCAGCCTCGAAAGCCATCCAAATGCGCTTTTCTTGAGGCCCCTTATTTGGAGCCCTAGATCCCGTAGCAGCTTTGCGCTGAGGGTTTTAAAGTCTAGAGTCTCTTGATGGATTGAGGGTGGGTGCTGATTTTGTTTGTTACTTGAGGTCTCGGCTGGAACTTCAGACTGGGTTTGACCAGAAGCTGTCTCTGGGGCAAGCTTGGACTTCGAAGTTATTACAAGCTGTTGCCGAGCGATCTTGTGCTTTGGGCCTAAATTAGGCCTTTGTTGGATGGGTGAGCCTCCGTTCTGGCAAGAGGTCCGACCTGTTGAGGGCTTCGATGCGCCCGCGACTCGAATATTCGACCGCCTCTCGCCCATTGAGCTCCCAATATTGCGAAGTGCTAAGGGCCCCATGCCCTGAATCAGAGCTGCAACAGCGAGGACCAGAACATGAAACACGGCCAAAGGACACACATCAACAGAACAAAACTCTGAAGGACGCAAAGCCCAAAACCCTGAGACACAAGCTCCCACACAAACGACGAGACCGACAAGCCGACTCTAAACACCCAACCTTGAGCTGTGGCTTCGCCGTGGCACTGAAACCTGCTTCAGGAGCATTCGAAGATCAGGGCTCGGCGCTGTTGAAAAATATGTCTGCAAGGCTCTGGGGTGGGGCAGTGGCAGCAAACTCCAAAGCGAGAAGAAACATAAGGAGCAGAGCTAGCGATTGATCACAACAATCATGAACACAAACCTATGATGTTTACATGCGCGCGTGCGCACGGACGAAGACGGGACTTTCCGATGGACACCCACTAAGACATCCATCCTTTCCATGCAAGCCTGTTGATGCGGCCACGACATTGCCTCGTCGGCCGGGGCGCGTTGGGAGGACTGGGCGGCAGCCTGATGGAAAGAAACAACAGGACAATGCTTACATCAGCTCGGTAGCCTGAAGGTCACGGCGGCTGTATCTTTCATGGGAGAGGTCATAGATTGCACAGCCTGCGTTTCACCCTGCTTCGATCCACGATGATCTCATCCACAACGTGCAAAGCATTTTTGGAAGGACCAGGACTGCTGCATGAGAAAAGAATGGGGCCCATTAGGATGGTTCGTCATTTTCGCTATGAACGATCGTCATTAGCAGCTGCAGGAGAAGCAGCCGCACAAAGTCATCATCATGACCCACATTGTCATCATCAACACCATCCTGACCAGCCGGCCCCCCCAACGTCTTCGCGCACTGCTTTCGGCCATTTCGAGATCGAAGATTTGGTCTCTGCATGTCTCTACCCAATCCTGGAACTTGCACCCAAACCTGGACCAGAACTATGAACTAAGCGGCACCCCAATTGACCCAAACAGCAACCCGCATAAACTCGAGAGTGCCCGACCCCATGGGGTGGTCTCTGGCGATGCGCAAGCGGTCTTTGGACCTGCACAGGTCAAGAGGAGATGTCTTGAGCCTTGGCGATTCGGGGTCTTCTGATTTCACACATTCCAGCGGCTAGACGGTGCTCGCCTCGACCACCGTTGGACCGCGCTGTGAGATTCCGCAGCCCATCCTCTTCCTTCCATTGGAACGTGTGGCTTTGAACTACTAGAGGCTAGGAGAATCAGAATTGCGCGTTTTGGCGCTCACTTGATTTGTGAGATTTTGGGGATGGGCAGTTGGGTCTTGTCGCAGGGTGGAGGGCTCTGCTTGCAAGTCCCGGGATGAAGGTCTCTCTCGATTGCTCTTTGTGCTATAAGCATCGTCATGACCATGACAATTAACATTATCCTTATCTGTGTGCTTTGTCTTTCCTTGTCCTTGTCATTTTTTGTCATAATCATTATCATTGGTGCTGCTATCGCAACTTGGAATTGTATCATTAGGTGCTTCAGGGAGATCGAGCTCTAAAATTGCCCCGTCTCTTCACCTAGACGAGCCTGCACCGCACTTAGGAGGTTGTCCAACAACCAATCTTCCCACCACTCGGACCCAAACGCCCGCCCCCCCCCCCCTGGGCCTTCAACATCGGAATCTCTAAGATCCTGCTCGAGCCGAGATGCCACGGCCCACCATGTCGCTCAAGGTCGGGGCAAGGTCAAGGGGCCTCACTTCCATTCAACCTCCAAGTGGGCGCAAAGTTGCAAAGACCCCATGGGGTCCCCCTGCACCAGCGAAAAAAACTCCATACTTTGCCAGCAGCAGGGCAGTCGCGGATGTCACCTTTTGTGAAACCTCGGCCAGCCCGAGCCTTCAAGCAAGGGCTCAGCCGCAAGCGAGAAGGCTAGAATGGCTAGAAGATGCCTGAACCCAAGCCAAGGCCCATCCCTTCCAAACTTTCAAGCTTTGAGAGCATCCAAGAACTCAGTCTTCGTTGTTCTCAGCCTGGTCCAGACGCTCCTTCACCTCGTCTGGACAGGCGTAAGTACAGTCCGAATGCCGGGCAACGGCTCCTACGACTGAGCTTGATTCAGCTGTGCTAAAGCACCGGCACCGAGGCGGGCGCGATGCTGTCGTCCATCAGATAGTACTTCCTGGCTTCGTTAGCTCTCATAGCCAATTCTAGACCTGCTCTCTCTTGAGGCTTTGGGTAAACAGTCGCAGCTTCCCAATGGCAAGGCACACCAACGTTCCACAGCAAGCCCACACTTGGCCAACCCGGGATCGGCTGAGGCCGGTGCTGGACGAACTCCAAACTTTCAGACAGCCTCGTGACCGATTCGAAGCACATCCACGATCGGCCCTTCCCAGGATTCGGCTCAGTTGCCATGGACCCCTGGACGAGAAACTCGAGATGTTGATCCAAGGCCTGCAACCCAAAGTTGCGCGACAGTGGTCGGGTCTGGAACCCCTCAACCTACGGATCAGAAATCCCAAATACAAACCTTGGGCCCGTGGTCTCCAGGTTCCGAACGAAACGAAAAGCCCTTGTTGAAAGTCGAGCTCGAGCTCACCGCCAAACCCTACACCCTGAACCCCCAAAAGCCTAAACCCCAAACAGTCCCCAAAGACCCCCAGAGAGCATTCAGAGAAGACGGGAGCCGCACTCAACGACCAAGGGCACTCCGGGAGCCACAACCAGCTCCATGGCCTGGCGACGGCTTCAGAATCTGGGCTTCCTCCTATGGGCGGAAGTTTAGTTTAACCCATCAAAGTTTAGCACCACTCTGTAACTGTACAGGGGATGAGCTTTAGAAGGGCCTCTTAGGGTCTTAGGGAGTACAGAGGCTTTTGGATCTGCTTGAAGCTGGCGAGGTCCACAGGCAAGTAGTGCTGTAGTGCTTCTGACTCCTGACGGAATGCTTTTTGACGACTCGAATAAGCCAAACTTGCATTTAGCCGCGGGGATGGATCAGACTCCAGGTTTCAGCGGCGGGTTTCTCAGACCACCTTCTCCTCGGACAAGCCCTCCAGTTCTTTGCAGAGGGCCCGCAGGGAGTTGCCTTAGTTCGCTTCGAGCGGAACTAGCGCGCACACAGAACCAGAAGCTCCCCAAAGCTCGATGCTCCAATGCTACACCGATTCTGAGTCCCTTCATCCCCAGGGCGCGGGCCGTGCGCACAAACCAGCGGCGTCCTCCCGGCCTGCACCTGTTGCGCGTCTTGATGCCGGACTCTTCAATCCGTTGAGATTTCTGTCGTTTTCTGAAGCCACACAACAATCAGTTGCACGCAGATGCGAGGGACCTTTTGGACCTCGAACCAGTGCTTAAGTTTGGCTTCGGCTCCGAAACCGTTGTTGTCAAAACGAAGCCACTCCAGCAGTTCTTGACACAGCAATCGTCCGCCATGCGGAAATGCGCAGACAGGAAGCCCTGCAACACAACAAACGAGCAGAGCATCAAATTTTCGTGCTGAGATATGCCCGGACGTCGTCCGCGGGATCCGCCAAAATTGTTCATGCGAATCTACGTGACAGAACATGGGTTGCTGGAAAGATTCAGTACGGCATCTGATTTCTGTTCATACGTGAGGCAACTGAACTGAGAATGCAATTGAGGGCACGTGGGGACTATTGAAGCCATATGTCGATCGAAAAGTGGCGACAATGTTCACGGAAGTTTGACACACAAAGAACGGGACGATGCAGATTGTCGGTCGCGACTTATGATTACAGGGCTTGCAGCTCGCTGCGGCATGACTGCAGACCTAGTCGCAGGCCGTCAAAGCTCTGTGGGTCTTTGAGCCATATATGAAGTATTGATTCCAGGGAAGCAAGTAAACATGATCCGTTGACGATCCTACCCTGAACTTGCCGGAGTTGCACAAGGAGCGATTTGATCGTGCCAAAATGGCAGGACACGCTCGACCTGGGCACGGCTCAAAGGCGGCTCAGCCAGAAGACCAGAGTTGAGCCCTTTGGATAAAAAGGTGAAAGGCCCCAGTGAGGATCCAGCCGTCATTCGCACGGATTCTGCACCTGACACACAGATCGGAAGAGACATGTCTCGTCATGGACAGAAGATGTAATCAGCTAGAAGCGGAATCTGTGCAGTCCTAACCTCGGAAGCTCTCGTCATAATGACAGGCGGCCTGGTAGTGCATCTTTTGGCACGGTCTCGTACAGGGCGTCATTTGCAGGATGCCTGGCGCTACAAGCATTGCATTCAACTCAGCGAACGGGAAGCATGTCTCTACTCGAGACGCCACTAATCTCACCATGCTCTCTTGAGCTTCATGTGGCCCGCCTCTCGTCCTCCAAATCTACGGCCGGTGGCATGCCGTCGTAAGTCTTGAGCCACGAGTCAACCTGGCGAGTCTGTAGACTAGCCCCGCACGTGCAACAGCTTATGATCAGGCAGGGCAATGAAGCATGTCTCCAATCTAGGCCCAGCAAAACTTTACATCGCGAGCGAACATCAGCAGAATGCTGCGGCCTTCTCCAACGTATGTTGCCACGAGGAGTTCGTGCGGCCCATTCCTATCAACGTACCTGGCTTGACACAGTGCTCGGTGTTCCTTCGAATCTGCATAAGGTGATGGCACGACGGCCGGCTTTTCTTGGTGGTGGCATGTCCTGGTTGCTTTCAACACCGACCTTTTACGACTCACTCCTCAGTGTCAGACGAAGATCTTTCTCGATGATACATGTTCTTGCACCCTGCTCGCGGAGCCTCTACGGAACCGCCTCACGTCTTGGGAGGGTCTGCGGCTTGTCGCTCCACAGGGCAGTTCAATAGCCGCCGTCGAGGGCGTGATGAGGAGCAATACATAGCGCACGCAGCCAACACCGACTGAACAATCGCATGCTGTTCAAAGCTCAGCCCTCAGGCTTTCGCTCTCCAAAGTCCGTCTGTCGCGTACCATGTCGCAGGTTTGTGGCTCTCGAAGTCGATGTCACGCCGGTATTGCCGGTACAGGGTCACAGAGCTGCTGCATCGAGTCTAGCATCTGCCAGACAAAACCGTGTGACCATTCTGCCATACTATGTTGTTAGACATTGAGCCCCAAGATTAGCTGGAAGGTTTGGAGCTGCGGCAAGGTCATCCGTTGCTTGCCATGCCTCGCTCTCCAGAAACCTCGTTAAGTCATCCTTCTGCTACCGCTGCTGCTTCCCAGTCATGGGCCGTTACAGAGGGCTTGCTTGAACAGCACGAACAGTCGTAAACATCAGGACCAAATCTGCAGACTGCACTGGCGGCCGAACTGATCCCACAGTTGCGGCCGGAGACGGCACGTGACGCCCCGTCCACTGACTTCGCAACGGCTCAGCTACTCCATGTCATCCACATCTTCGGAGACTGGAGACCAGAGCCTGTTTCAGGGCTTGCATGCCCACGGACGTACAATACCGGTTTAGGGTTTCAGGGTAGTGCATATTTGGGTGTCGTAGTTTAGGAACAATTTCAGGGGCTCGGCAAGGCCTAGACCGGGGCCAACTGGACTGCTCGGTTTGGGGGTTGCCGGGCTGCTGCGCGCGCTGCGCCCGCGGCACTGGCGGCAGAGGCTGCGCCAGTGGGCCACCTGGAAAGAAACGGAGACAGCACGATTTGAACCTGAGGCGATGTTTGGGGGAAAGGCAGGCAGGAACGCCCGCGGTGACAAAAAACACAATCACAGTCATACCGTGCTTCTTGCAAGGAAGCTTCTGAGAGCAGGCAGCTCAAGCCGAGGTTGATCGACGCCTTTCCCAGTCTCCCACGGATCTAAAACCTCAACCGAAACTCCCGAAATTGCGCCGAAACCCCTGAGCTACCCCGGAAGATAGCTGGCATCCCCGCAGCCCCACTGCAGTGGCTCTTGTGACAGTTTGTGAACCTGGGACACCGAGGTTCTGCAACGGTGATGAAACAATTCATTGTATTCCTGGCAACCAAGAAGACCTCATGCAAAATAGTTTCGGCACAACTTGACGGGAGGGGAAGTGGTGCAGCAGCTGTCGAACGCAAGACAGAGACTAACGTCATCCAATGCCCCTTCCAGCTTCAACCGTCCGCGGCCTTCGATGTGCTGCCGATCCCATCGCTGGGAGGGACTGCCGAGACAAGTCAGGCACGACTTCACTGCTAAGACCTCATAGTTTAATAAACTTCAGCCAATAGTCTGAAAAGCACATGGCACTGCAGGACATACAAGGGAGTTCTGACATCTTCGCGTGACATGGGAATGCTGCAGGAGTCAGGATTCTGTCGAATGGTCTGGAATGCGCGTTGAAGTTGCCACCCATGGCCCCTAGCAGGTCAGAGATATAAACTTCTCCGAGGTCAAACAGCCACAAACAGAACAGCACGACAAAGGTGAGACTTCCTGGACCTGGGAGACTTGAACGAAGCCCGGAAACCAAGGCTACCAAACCAAACCCCTGAAAAGATCTTAAAGCACACACCAAAACCCTCATAGATCTGTGTAGGAACAGATTTCACGCCAGCCTCGCTTCGGAGAAGGCCGAGACCTGAGGACGGAAGCCACAGCCAGGAGAAAAGGAGTACTCCCAAGGTTAAAGTTAGAGTTTAGGGTTTAGGGCTTAAGGGTTTAGGGTTGTTTTTGTTTTGCGTGCCCTTTTCCAACTGCAGAAAGTAGCCGAAACTCCACTAGCGGGAGGAGCCTGTGGGACAGCCTGGACTGAAAAAACAGAGAAGCCCCCAATCCCTCAACCCCGAACTACCCACTCCAGGCTGACACTCTGATACAAAGTCAAAGAGGACACTGCTGCATTGCCTGCTTTTCAAGAGACGCCACTGTCAACGACCCTTCATCCGACTGGTGCACACTCAGACTGTACAAGCGAGCGACGGATCCAGCCGGGCTGCACTCTGACACAATCACCAGCATCCGAGTCCCCTACCTCTGGCAGCCCTCACACATGAAACAGAGAAAACAGCATCAGCTGCTTTCGGAGTCACAGCCTGCCTCACCCTGCTGTTCACTACCGCACACCCGCCAATACTCGGCACCATTGTAGTAGGGATCCGGGTGCACGAAGGCCATGGTGGGCAGCTCATCGGGATCGGGCAGGCTCGACGTAGTCGTAGTCGACGGCTCCAAGTGCGCACCCAGCATGAACGTTGTGCTCGAAGACAGCTCCGAGGAGAGTTCCCCACCCGGTTCGCCTTCTGGTTGTGTGGGTGCAGCCTCCTTTGTGGTCCGCCAAGGTGTCCTCGCCGATATGATACGCGCGGCGCCCACTTGGGAGAGCGCGTACGCAGCTCGCTCTCCGTTCACGGCCGCGGTGAGCGTGGCATCGGACGCCGCCACATCGAATCCGGATCCTTCCCATATGTTCAGGGTCAACGCTGGGTCGCCATACACTGCTCCCGATCGAACCGTCTCGAACACCCTGGCCATGATTGCATCGATCTCGTTTTGGTTAAAGTACCCGGCAAGGTTAATGTACCAGTCAGATGCCCTGCGGCTGTCGTCAGTGCTGCGACCGTCGTTGATATGTCTCGAGAGGATGGGTACACGAAGTTTGCTTCCTGCGTGGCCCGCCCCGCGATCGCTCCGTATAGCCCGTTCAGGTCGTTTGAGCTGTAGAAGACCATCAGGTCTGTCGAGCCGCGTGGGTAGCCCTGCTTGATCGTCACGCGCGCCAAGTCGACCCGCGTAGCCGCCTCAGCTGCAGTTCCGAGTTCCGTCGTCCGGGCCCATATCGATGGTCTGTACTCCCTGCGCAGCGGCCAATCGTGTCGAGCGTGAGAACCCTGTGCTTGTCGGCCGCCGCTCTTGCTTCGGCTCCGATCGCCGACGAGGGCTCGACCAGCGCGGCAGCAGCGGTCGGTGCTAAGCTCGACGCAGCCCCCTTAGTGTCTCCAAGTCAAATGACACCGCCGTCACCAGGTCAGCGACCGCGGCGCGCACGGCCGACCTCTGCGAGTCAGTCACCCCAGCCACCCCCGTGAACGGTACCGTGGACGGTAGCACGGACATGACGTACGACAGCGACGGGTAGAGCCCTGTGGCCGGGTCCTGCGATGCAGCGTGACGGGGTGCCTGCGACGCTGCGTACCTGTTGCCTCCTGCGTGTTGCTCGACCAACGAAAGCTCCCGTATTGAGCTGAAGAAGTTAAAGAGTAAATCGGGTGACGGGACAGGCGGTGCAGGTGGCGCAGGTGGCGCCCCTGGGGGGAGTGGACCGGGCGCGGTGTACCCGCCTCCGGGCGTCGCCGCTCAGCCACTTCGGCCAGCGCCGCGTCGCGGAATGCCGAGCATCCAGCAGCAGCGACCGGCCTCAGCTTGGCCGCGGCTTCTGTGAATATCTCTTTCACCTGCGCTGGGGTGAGGTGCTGCTGCGCTGATGAGAGGAAGCCGAGGTTTATGACGCCCGACTTGCCCATGAAGCTTGGCGTGAAGCCTCCCAGAAATTGGAGTGCCAGGTCTAAGTCCGCTTGTAGCTCCACGTCAAAGACGCCGACCGCCTCAGCGGCCGGCATGGCTCCTCCGATGCCTGCTACCACTCGCGGCTGAAACCTGGCGTCAGCGTTTGCGCCTATCGAATCCCGGATCATGCCAGTGCGCGTCGACGGCGGAGCGGCGGTTTGGCGCGCGGCGCCGGTAGCCTGGATTGTCGTCAATCCGTTCGGGTGCCGCCCTCTCATCGTCACGGTCGACAGCGCTTGCGAGACGTCTGGCGCCTGCGTGTTGAAGGGCCTGTCGCCCAATGGTGTTGCCGATGCAAGCGTCGTGAAGCTGGATGCCGGCGCAGCCATCGCTCCAGACGCCGATGTCGAAGCCGACCCCGGGGCCGACACGCGCGCGCGTGGCCAGACACAAACCTCTATCTTCATATCACGAGGGTTTTTTTTTTAAGGGAGTGTCGGCCTTTCGCACTGCAAGCAGAACTCACGCCCGCCTCATAGAGGGCAAAAGGCCACAGGCCAGGCTACGCCCAGCAGAGACACCAACATTTTAGCATCCCCTCAAAAGTTCACTCACTATCACGAGGGTTTAGGGCTTAGGGTTTAGGGTCTTGAGGGTCTGGGGTTTAGGATGGGGGTTTGAGGGATGCACACTTGCGGGGGCACCGCAGCTGGAATCTTCTCCCGGGGATCACTGGAATCTCTTGCTAGCGGGGCGGCGGAATCGAGGAACTCCAGGGCTTGGAGGTCTTCCTGGCCGTGATTCTTTGGATGTTGCCGGGTTTGCTGTCGCCAAGACTCGGGGGGTGAACGTGAAGGCGGTTCGACGAAGAAGTCGCACCCATTTCACACGAAATCGTTGGACATGGAATCCTGCTTCTAGAAATGCCTGAACATGGCACAGGTCCTGATCATCCGGCAACATCAACATCGCATTGAAGGCCATTTCCTAGATCGGGAGATGTTCGGCTTGGTGCAACATGTGTTGTCCAAACTTGCCAATGCCGCTGCAACCAATATCAAGAAACCCTTGCATTCTATGCTGACATCTTCTGCGTTGCCCCAAAGATGCAGGATGTCGTTAGGCATCAACACAGCTCCTACAGCGACCCTAGCCCTCCGCAAGCCTCGCAGAGAACAGCAAACGAAATCACACAGGAAACTCATTCCCTCCAGCCTTGGCCACTTGCAGTCGCCTCAGCTAGGCAAACTGAGTCGCAGCAAAGGTGAGCTATGCCAAGATTTGTCCAAATCACCCACATGTCCCACACGACCGCGAAGTAAGCAAAGCAACGAAAACATCCGAGAAATAAAAGAAAAGAAAAAGAAAAACTTCTGTGGAATACTGCGCCGCCAGGCCCGCAGCACCGCGCGTGCCGTCAGGCCAAAAAGGCTCTCCAGGTGCCTCAGAACCTGGGTCTTTAGGTTTGGGGCTCTGTAGGCTCGTGCATCGGTTCGTGCAGCGCCGATGTGCAAGCAATCACAAATATCCGAAACCCACTCCACCTGCAGATTCTCCGGCTTGCTCCAGTCTTCCTTGCCCAGACCTTCGCGGAAGGGACTTGTCATGAGGCTGCGGTAGGGCTGAGCAACACTTGCAGAACACAAAGGCTTGTTTCCACCACTGGCATCTCAATCGAGTTTGCTCACCTCCCAACATTTTGTAAGGTTATGACAGATGACTTTGATAAGTGATGCATGTACTTGGGAGGCGTGGTCAGTTAGTAGACTGGGTGGCGGCCAATACCATGTAGACACGGATGACGGTCGGTCGGTCGGTCGGTAGGTAGGTGGGTAGGTAGCTAGATAGGTAGGTACGCAGATAGCTACATAGCTAGACAGCTAGATAGCTGGATAGCTAGACAGCTAGCTAGCTAGTTACTTACACAGACAGGCAGGCAGACAGACAGACAGATAGATAGACAAGCCTCGGTAAGACAGATGATAAGATACGTGAGTTTGCTAAGATAGCTACGATTAAATAGCTATGTAAGACAGGTGAGATAGGAAAGATTCAGGAAGATATGTTAGGTAGATAGGTTGATAGATACATAGATAGATAGATAGATAGATAGATAGATAGGTTGGCAGGGAGGAAGACAGATAGATACATAGATCGACGGGCAGACAGATAGACGGACAGATGGATAGATTGCTAGGTTTTAGGATAGGTAGATAGGTAAACAGGTAAACAGATAGATAGATAGATTGATTGATTGATTGAGACATGGAAGAAGATGGATAGGTAGAACGATGGATGGATAGATGGACAGATGGAAAGATGGGCAGATAGACAGATGGATAAATAGATGAATGGATGTATGGATGGATGGATGCATGGATGCATGGATGCATGGATGCATGCATGGATGCATGCATGCATGGATGCATGGATGCATGGATGGACAGATGGATGGATGGACAGATGGACGGATGGACGCATGGATGGATGGATGGATGGATGGATGGATGGATGGATGGATGGATGGACAGATGGATGCACGGATGCATGGATGGATGGATGCATGCATGGATGGATGTATGGATGGATGGACGGAGGGATGGATGGATGCATGGATGCATG